GGTTTCATTGTATAAAAATTAAAGATAGTACCGTTTGGATTAAGTAAATAATAAATAAAGATAGTAGCACTTGAGTTTTACTTTTCATTCTGATAGTAGAATTTAACTTGGCGCCACAGTTGTTGATATCATATTACAGACTAGGTGAAATAGATTATAATAAAGAGACAGTTGAATGTAAAGATTGATGTATAAGTAGATGTATGCGCAGTTGTATATATGTACCTACACAGCACTGAATGGCCAGAGTATTACATTTGAAATCTGAAATATTCTGGTGACGATCTCAGAAATATTCTACCAATGGTAGCTGAATGTCTTATGTCCGCATCTGGCAATATTTAGTATTCTGGAGACATTCAGTAATTTATGGAACGTTTTACAATACACAGCACGAAAAGTCACCAGAATGTGAACAGAATGTCGTCAGAATGTCTCAAATGGTTTTTTTTACAGAATATTTCATTTGAAATGTTTCTGCAAACATCCAGAGATGTTACACATAGGATATATTTTATTTGAAATATTCTAATGATATTCCATTTGAAATATTACGTTTACAATGTTTTCTTTTCCGAAAGCCACCCAGGTATCATTCCATCCCTGTTATTTACCGAACGTTAAACAAGGATGACATGACACCCGGAGAACATCCGGATGAGAACCCAAACACGGCTCAAAAAAAGTTAAGAATCTCCAAGAGACTCGTGTACTCCTTCTTATAGAACTCCTGGACGTTTTCTCTTTACGAGAAACATATCCCTCTCGTGGCGGAGCCGCGCACTTCTGAATGTCGCCAGAATGTGGCCAGAATACCCAGACAGCACACGACATCCAGACTTGGTTTCAATCTGGTCCAAACGTCCATGGACTTAGTACGAATGTTTTAAAAACATACGTTATTCAACGTACAAAGTATGTTCACATTTGGACATTTTAAAAATATTCATCTCATACAAAAAATTTTCTAAATCTGCTCGCGACGTGTTGCTTTCGCTGATTTGACAAGTGAACATTTTTTTAAGACCGCGCGAGGAATTCCATATTTGTTAGTATGTACGGACATCTTTTGAACGTCCCATGGACGTTCCTAGGACATCTGTGCTGTGATGAAAATTTTCAACGACAAAAAATCTACCCAGATAACTAAGCGTGCGATATTCCACGATATCCTCACAAAATACCGCTACCATACTGTTACTGTACATGATAACTGGTACTGTGAAAGTACAGCGTATGATTTCTTAACCTGAAAATAGTCGTAATAACATTTAAGATTAAATATTAGACAGTAATTGACTGGATGTTCAGTTGAACTGCACAAATTTCTGTTAGGATCATATTGAACAGATGTATCGTAATTATACATCCATGATTATATAGGTATTCGTGGATCATCGAAGTGTAACGGTTTCCATACGATTTCAGAAATCAAGCATAGTGGATGGCGGTATGTAACCGGATGAGTGACCGCTTCGAAGCACTATGAAATTAGTTCCCGAATTCAGGGAAAAACTTTTTTTTATTATAATTTTATGATGCGTATTATGGAATAAGATATTAATCAATAATAATACTCATATAAGAATCATTTTGTCTTGATTGTGATCTAAAATTTGTTTAATGTATTAATTTGGTCCAGTTTTAGTCCATTGCGTCCTAAAATGGACGTTTTTAAAAAGTCCAAAGTAACACTGGATATTTTTTAAACGTTTTTAAAATATCCATGGATCTAATCTGGATGTATTTAATAAGTCCAAAACGTCCAACATGTACGTTTTAAATACATTTTTAAAACGTTACTGTACTGTCTGGGTATTACATTTGAAATCTGAATTATTCTGATGATCATCTCAGAAACATTTTGGCAATGACACCCGGAGAACACCCGGGTGGGAATCCAAACACGCTTCAAAAAGGGTTGAGAATCTCCAGAACACTCGATTTACGTACTTCTTCTTATAGGATTCCTAGATATTTTTTTCTTATAACAAGCTTATCCCTCTCGTGGCGAAGCCGCGTATTTATTTACTAAATTGTAATATTGCAATATTTATATTTTCTACAAAATATTATAATTACTATATTTTACAATATTGTTGCAACATTTCCAATAAAATATTAAAATTTAGAGATTGCAGCAATATTGCTGTAATATTTCGTGCTGTAGGGGTGCTTCGTATATACAAAGTCTTTAGAATATTTCATTCGCGACATTCTAAAATATTTCAAATATAATGTTGTCAGAAACTATAATAACAATAATCAAATCAAATGTACCGTTTTGGAGAGAAATTGCCAGAATATTTCATATGAAACATTCAGAAAGATTGGAAGCGAAACGTCTCAAAAATATTAAGGAAATATTGCTAATGTAATATTTCAAATGGTATGCTTTTAGAATATTTTATTTGCAATATTCTTAAATATTTCGAATGAAATATCGCCAGACACACTTTCATATGAAACGTTCAGAAAGATTTGAAGCAAAACGTCTCTAGAACATTAACAAAACATTGCAAATGTAACATTTCAAATAGAATGTCTCCAGAATTTCCCAAATAAAGTATTCTAGATGCAATATCTTTAGATGTGTTTGCAGAAATATTTCAAATAAAATATTCTGTAAAAGACATTTAAAATATTTTAACGACATTCTGGTGACATTTGATGCTGTGTGGGTACATAAGTATATGTATATAAGCAAGGTATAAGAGAGGATAGAATATTAAGCAATAAAGAGTAGAGATAAGAATTAGTTAGTATGGATAGGTTACGTAGGTTAGGTATGCTTTTTTTTACTTTTAGTATTGTATTGGTATGTATGTGTGGATGGATGAGTGTGGTAAGGAAAGAAATTGTAAACCAAGCCTCTTTCTTGGCAAATTTGTAAGCTGAAGTGAATAAATTCTATTGTATTCTATATTACAAGCTAGGACGATTTTAAAAGTTTGTATAAGGAAGCAAATCTTCAACAATTCTGAACAAAGGCAAATGATTTCTTTTATTGATTATAAATATTTATAAAAATAAAGTGCAGATGTGATAATTTTATTTAAAATTAGATATAACAATATATTATTCATTTAACACACATAAAATTGATATATGTATCTGTTTGAGAATGATAATAACACACATTCGAAACTTGGCTCATTTATACTACTGACCTAGTCAAATATGTGCCAATACGCCTGGTGACGATTATATGCGTAATTATGCGATATATTTGTATGATTAAACTATATGTAATTGTAAAGAAAAGTCACCAATACTGGTATAGGCTTCCTGAAGAAACACGCTCTTGTTTTTCGGAAATTAAGTATTGCTCTTTATTAGTATTGACAAAAACATGATCTGTTTAGATAATTAAAGAAGTAAAAATTCATAATTCATATATTTAATTGTGGCTTATTTCTATGCAAACTCAGCTAAAAACAAATTCTACACATGCGAAAATAAAATTCTTACAATTATTTTTGCAAATTGTGTTGTTTCAATAGTAGTGCAGGCTATATTATTGATAATATTACATCGTTTTACATATTTTATGGTTTCCTAAATCAGTTTTATTAATATTTTTTCTTTCTTATTTTTTTCATAATACGGTTTTAAATATAAAATATTGGAGTGCAGCGTAAACCGGCACACCTGTCTGTAAAACAGACCATAAGCTAACTTGATCTTTACAGTATTGCGTTATATAGGTATATATTGTATAGTGTCACAAATAGAAATTACCTATTGAAGATGAAAGCAATCGTGTATTTATATAAAAAAAAAGCTTAAAAAGAAAAAAGAAACTGCGCGTTATATGTCTACATCTTACAAAACAGTATAAAATATGTATATAAATTAACAAAAAATATTTATATCGAAGTGAAAGACTTCTAGAAAGTCTTATTACATAAAATATATTCATTTATAGATATTTTGTGTACAGATGACTCCTTTGAAAGAAAAAGAATAGGAATATATATGTGTGGTATTACTTATTGCCTACTGTGTCAGTTTTGAAGCCTATTTTGGTAAATTTTTGCCCATTTTGTTTGTTTTTGCTTATCTTACGAAAAAGTTGATTATTGTAAAATTACAAACAGTATTATAAACACTGCTATGTTATTTGATAGAAGACACTTTCTATAGTCGGTATTTATTTTTTTAAGTTTTATTTTTAACTTTTGTTTAAGAAATATTGTCCAAAAGAGTGGTGATCTTCCTCTGTCTTGCATAGAAAAATCAGATAATATTTATTTCTATTATTTGTCATTTTTTTACTATATCGCCTTTCTATCTTCATTAGTGTTTATTGATAAAATTAGAATTTACTTGATATTTTCGCATTTTCTCAACAATGGTTTTGCTACATAGTTATTTATTTATAGAGTGGTGCGTGTTTTAAAAGTGCTTTCATGCTTGCACGCATGCACACATGTTGCACAAATGTTCTTTTCTTATTGTTCAATTTACTAACACTGCAAATCTATCTATTAATGTGAAACCGCCTCTGCCGATTATTTATCAAGTAATTGACGAAACGTGCCATCGTCACTAGGAAGAGACGACGAAATCATTATTACTACCTTGTTATGAAACGAAAGGGAAAGTTTGACAAATACGAAACATTAATTTCTTTACTCGATATAGTGCGATGGAGTGAGATATGAAGAAAAGAAGAGAAGAAAGAAGACGAGAGAGGAAAGAAAAGGAAAAGCAAAAAAGAGGACAGAGAAAAGATGAGATAGAAGAGGCGAGAGAGAAAGAGAGAAGGATGAGAAAAAGGGAAGAGAAAAGGAGAAAGGAGAATTGAGAAAGGGAGAGGGGAGGGAAGCATGATGGGAAGCCGAACGGCACAGTTCGGCGTGTCTAGACCGCGACGTAGTTACCGTTTGGCCCAGTTACACCCTTCTTTCTCTCCTCTATTCGTTCTTTTTAAACTTCACTCGTTTCTCATCGAGTTTTCTCGCTCTTTATCTTTTTATAGCTAATATCACCATTACCATCACCCATCACCACCACTACTTCACCACTATCACCATCGTCATCACCATCACCGTAATCATCACCATCATTGCCACCATTACTGTCACTATCACTGCCACCATCACCGTCACCACCACCTTTACTTCCATCACCCCCATCACTATCGTTATCACTATCATCACTACTACCAGCACCAATCCGTCATCATCGTTATTCTATACAACATATAGAATATTGTATAGAATAACGATGGTTGGAATATATTCGCAATTCACAACAAGTTATTAGCCGCAGTGGCCATCTAGAGAATTTGTTACATATTTATAAAGAACAAGCTCACTGTCCGTGCAGATGACAAGTTTCACAACTTCCAAATTCTTCTCTTTTAGCTTTTTTTATTTACAGCTCGCTATGATTACATCACAGCACAAAATTATGATCTCTCCTTGCATACGATATAATGTCGTCTTTTCATTGTAACATGTCTTAACCACAATTTTCAATTTTTTGTGATTTTTATTTCTATAAAAAGCAATTGAATTCAAGTTAAAATATGTAGTAAACATTAATCTAACGAAAATTAACTGAATAAACATTCCCTTTTTTTAATGATACGATTTTATGTTTTAAATATTTAATAACCTATATAAAATATCGCGCGTGCGTGTGTATTTGATTGAATATAATATTAAATATTTTTTTTGCAAAAAAACTGCTAAATATCAAATCTTAACATTTTGTTTTTTCGTTATTTAAAGATACTTGAATGAATTGTTAATCAAAATCCTTGTATTGTGTTCAGTACTTTGTATTGTGGTTCATATATGTATATATCTGATTGTGTGAAATGACCCCTTTAGGATTACTTAAAGCAGATGGATCAAATAAGCTTTTAAGTATTTTACTACAAATTACTTTTTTTAAAATAACGATAATTAAAATTGCAGCATTTTTTTTTCTCTTGGTATCATTAATTCTGATTTACGTTGATTCGGTTCATAACAAATTCTTTCTTTCGTGTAGTATGTATATTTAAATATGTTTTACAAAAATAAAATTGTTTTCATTTCTCATTTATGAATGAAGTAAATGAAATTTTTTACATTTTATATTTAAATTTCACAAATTTAATCATCAATGGTGTATATCACGGATTCTATTGAAATAAATGGAAAAAGAATCAGCCACGGTGTCTTTTATTTCTTGATTTTGTACTTTATCATTACTGCATTATAATTTATAACCATATTTGAGTGGTAAGTATGAGAATAAGAAATATTATATTTGATATTTTATTTTATGACGAGTACAAATATACGGTGTAGGACTTTAAGACGTTTTCGTATGGAATTATCAGATATATCATAACTTTAGAATTTCAGTTTTAGAGATTAGATGTTTTAAATAACAGAGTTTTGTGTGCGTGCGTGCGTGCGTGCGTGTGTGTATGTGTGTGCGCGCGCGCGTGCGTGTGTGTATGTGTGTGCGCGCGTGTGTGTGTGTAAATTATCCAACAGATAGACTCTACAGGCACGTTGGCATGCAAGATACAACCTGTCGATTAAAGTGCCTATTCGTTTTCGATATGATACCGTGCCAGCCTTTATGCACACGTACAGTCATTTCTTCAACTACTTAAAAATTCCAACTTGAAAATTCATACATGAGGATTTATATATTAATTGGTCTGTTTTATTGGACTATGAAAACAATATCTCTATCTCGAATAATAAGGCTTCAAAGAAATAAATCAAGATGAGTAAAAAATGCAAGCCATTATAAGTCGACACATTGGATGGTAATATTTCGGCTTACATTGGCTTGCATTTAAGAAGGTTGTAAGGGCATAAAACACATATATTAATATTTTCGCTTTAAACAAACTACATACATGTGAAAGTTGTGTTCATAACATTCTGGTTTTATTGAGCA